GTAACAGATGAGAAAGTATCTTATTGCATTTAATTGGATGGTTCAGTCCTTTTACATTCCAACTTATGAAGTTAACATGACGGCCATTACCTCCAGCTTGAGAATTATCTGATAGAATAACCATGGTTGTCTTCAAGTGAATGAGTATTCCAGTTGGCATGCGACATTTCTGCTACTACGGATACAAAGAAAGAATTAACTACAGTAAAAAAAAGTGCAAGGCGGAAACAAAACAGAAAAAAAAATAGCCCCCCACCCCCCTCCCTAATATCCCTGGTGTTGTCCCCAATCAACAAACACAACATGCCCCAAGTGTCCTCACTTCTATTGAGAGTCCTCTTCTTCTCAACCACAGTCCCTTCTTTAAAAGGCAAATAAAATAACCTGCACAATTAAGAGTGCGCACAAAAAATTAGGTAAAATATACAAAATATCAGGAGATCCATTTATGATTCACCCTAGTAGGAGTGAAAGAAAAATAAATAAAAATAAAGGTAAATAAAACTGAAATAATAATAATAACAAACGGTAGTTGTGAATAAAATTAAATTAGTGGAGAAATATAGGGGATAAAATGAATAGATAAATAAAATAATCATATATAGACCTGATAATTGCTGTGAATAAAAAAAATAAATAAAATAAATACAAAATGTTACAGAATTCTTCACAGGTAAAATATCTTAAAAAATAGTAAAATATGGTCTAGTGATCAATCTGTCAATAACGTGATTTAAACTAAAAATAAATAGAATTGGAAAAAAACTAGTAATAGAAAAAATATCAGAAATATATCAAAAATAATTTATTAAAACAAAAAAAACCAAATACTCATGGATTGCACATCAAAATCAGTATTATTTTACTAATGTAATTAAGAGAAAAAATGTAATCAGACAAATAACTTATTAACTTGTAACCCTTCAGATAAACAATAACACAAAAGTAACTGTAATTGGATTGTCTTTAAACATTCACGCTATCAGCAGAGTAGTCGTTTTTTTCTTTTTCCCTTTTTTCCCTCTAAACTTTTGAGTCAATGTAATTTTTCACACTCTTGGGGTTGTCAAATACTTTCGTTTCCCCGTCCCAGGACACTCGCAGCCGAGCTGGATAGAGCAGACCATAACAAACTCTATCCTTCCCCCGGAGCAGCGCTTTCACCTCGTTAAAAGCTGAATGGCGTCTGTTCAGTTTAGCACTGAAATCCGGGAAGATGAGGAGCGGATTTCCACAGAACTCCAGTCGGCCTTTCTCTCTTGCAAGACGCTGAATGCGCTCCTTCTCTTGGTAGTAGTGAAAGCGGACGATGAGTGGTCGTGGTCTTCCTCCAGCCGCGGAGGGTTGAGCTGATGTCCTGTGGGCTATATCCAAAATTGGAGGTTTCTCCAGACCATTGGGACCACCGAGAACTTCGTGTAATAAGTCCGCAACAAACTTTGTTGGATCTCCTTGTTCAAGCCCCTCGTTGATGTTTAAAAGGCGTAGATTGCACCGCCTGCCCCTATTTTCGATGTCATCCAACTTTTGAACAAGTTTGTCATACTTGTTGCTCAGCTCCGTGTAGTTAGCCTCTGTAGCTGTCACCCGAGTATCAAGCTCAAAGAGTTCTTGGCCGTGGTCACGGAGCTTATCTGTACAGTCATCAAGCACTTTATGAATTGGCGCAATTGCTCGGCTTATTTCTTCCCTTAAACCATCGTTTTCTTCTCTAATTACTTCTTTTACGATGTCCCGGAAAGCCTGAAGCATGTTAGCATCGATGGTAGCAGTGTTAGCCTCTGGTGCAGGGCTATTAGCCTTAGGTGTGCCTGACTTGCTAGCCTCTGGGTTGCTAACCTGCGATTTTCCCGATTTTGGAGGCATTTCGTTGAAGTTTGTGTCCACAGGACGATGCTGACGACAAAGTATTATCCACTCACCAGAGGAGTACTTTGTATGAAAAGTTATGCAGATTTTTATCAATTTTGAAGAGGATTTCGGGACCTCGTGGTTTGCACGTCTACCTCATAGCGCGCCCCTAGTGGTCTCCCGGGGCTCCTGTATTTCTAATCCGAGAGTCCGAGACATTCTTCCCCAGACGCACTCGCTGCTTCCTGTCTGTCAGGAAGTGAGTGATCCACCTGCAGGTGGAATCGGGCACGTTGAGCTGGTAGTCAGCCACCAATTGTACAAGTTCTCCCACTTAAAATAATGACAGAGGTCTGTAATTTTCATCATAGGTACACTTCAACTGTGAGAGACAGAAATAAAAATAAAAAACAGGAATTCACATTGTAGGATTTTTAAAGAATTTATTTGTGAATTATGGTGGAAAATAAGTATTTGGTCAATAACAAAAATTCAACTCAATACTTTGTAATATAACCTTTGTTGGCAATAACAGAGGTCAAACAATTACTATAGGTCTTTACCAGGTTTGCACACACAGTAGCTGGTATTTTGGCCCATTCCTCCATGCAGATCTTCTCGAGAGCAGTGATGTTTCAGGGGCTGTCGCCGTGCAACACGGACTTTCAACTCCCTCCATAGATTTTCAATGGGGTTGAGGTCTGGAGACTAGCTAGGCCACTCCAGGACTTTCAAATGCTTCTTACGGAGCCACTTCTTCGTTTTCCGGGCGTGTGTTTGGGATCATTGTTATGCTGGAAGACCCACCTCACGATACATGGCCCCATTCATTCTTACCTTAACACGGATCAGTCGTCCTGTCCCCTTAGCAGAAAAACAGCCCCCAGTTTCCACCCCCATGCTTCACAGTAGGTATGGTGTTCTTGGGATGCAACTCAGTATTCTTTTTCCTCCAAACACGACGAGTCGAGTTTATACCAAACAGTTCTACTTTTTGGTTTCATCTGACCACATGACATTCTCCCAATCCTCTGCTGTATCTTCCATCTGCTCTCTGGCAAACTTCAGACGGGCCTGGACATGCACTGGCTTCAGCAGGGGGACACGTCTGGCACTGCAGGATTTGATTCCCTGTCGTCGTAGTGTGTTACTGATGGTAACCTTTGTTACTTTGGTCCCAGCTCTCTGCAGGTCATTCACCAGGTCCCCCCGTGTGGTTCTGGGATTTGTGATCACCGTTCTCATGATCATTTTGACCCCACGGAATGAGATCAGGACCATGGATCTATAATAATAACGGTCAGGACAGAAGAGAGCTATACCCGTAGGAAACGCTTTTCTTTGGCCCTGCAGACACTCCCCCAGCGCCCCTCCAGCACAGTACGTGAGCTTATATGAAAGGTTTAACACAGCGGAGAATACAAAAGTGCAGGAGAGACGTGTGTGAAAATGCGTGTCACAGGAAGACATAATGTGGCGCACAATATCAAGTCCTCCCTGCACCTAATCCCCCACTCCCCGCCACACTGACCCCCGTCATCTGCGCTGAGAAGCCGGCCCTGGCTGCAGTCTTTAACCGGGCCAGAGCACGAGTCCAGGAATCGTGCTCTGTCGCGAATGCCGCGGTCAGATGGCACCTAAAGCCCGGATCTAATCGCGAAGCGGGCCCTGGCACACTTTAACCGGGCTTTAGGCCGTGCATGCGACCGCAGCCTTAAAGAAGTTGTTACAGGTCTGTGAGAGCCACAGATCTTCCTTGTTTGAACACTTATTTTCCACCATGATTTACAAATAAATTCTTTAAAAATCGTACAATGTGAATTCCTGGACTTTTTTTTCACATTCTGTCTCTCACAGTTGAAGTGTACCTATGAAGAGAATTACAGACAATAATTTTAAGTGGGAGAACTTGCACAATCGGTGGCTGACTACTTTTTTGCCCCACTGTAGTTGCAGGACTATCATACATCAGTACTCCATCTTAGTGTTTTTAGGCAGCTTTTTTCTTCTGTGTATATTTATTAGTTAGAATGATATTAGCTGTGGCCAAACTGGGGCAGTATGTGGTATTTGTAAGACTAACGTCATGCATCTTCTCTGCACATTCAAATCACTTCCACGCATTCAGTTCACACTACAACCACAAAGATGGTGCATTTATTGTGTAATGTGAACAGTGATAAAAATCCAAATTCTTGGGTTTCATATGACGTCGGGACAGTGGCGCGAATGATATACGTGGGACAGGACAGGACCGGATCGGACCTACCCTGGCGGTGCAGTCTGCCGTGTTTTATACTCGGAGATTGTTGACCCAACCCGAGACAAAATAATTATATGCCTCCAGGCTTTTGAAAGGCCTCATTTGTGTCGCAGTGTAGTTGGACGTTTCTAGCACCAGATAGTTTATGATGTCCATTGCCTCCACCACTGGAAACAACCTCCAGTCTGTATTTGAAGTCAGACTTTGCCAAACTATACAGGTCATATCCTGTGTGCGAGTTGATTTTTTTTTGCGATATTGGTCAGCCCTTTGTAATACTTGCTTTGTTTCATTGCGCTGTGTTGTGAACAGGTGACGAGCAAGGCTTTCCCAGATAAGCGCCCCCCTTCTGGCCAACCGAATGAAACGCAGCAATTTTTTCTGTTATTTTTTCAAAAAAATGCCCAAAATCTAAAACTCTTTTGAGAAATATTCTTTAGTACTCCCTTAGAATTGAGTGTGCCTCTCCCGATTAAGACTGTTACAACCTCCAAGAGCCTTTTGACTCTAAAAAAGACAAGATTTACATGGTTTTCAATGGGAGCAAAACTGACTTGGTCCGTCTCTGCTCATTCACCCCCTACAGGCCAGGTTAATGAAACCCAAGAATTGAGCGTTAGGCCCTGTAGTCTGAACATTGCATTTGACTAAACACTAAAACATTAAATAAAACACGAAGTGCATGTGGCAGCACTTTGCTTTAACACCTGGTCTACATGAACCTACACACACATTCAGAATAATCATTAAATATGACTAAAGAACCCAGCTTGTGTAGACGCACACAATGTTTAGGAACTGTACAGTTGTGTCTGTATGAATGCTTTGATGAAAACAAACTGTCAAAGCTATAAAATTACTTTAATGATGATTTATCCTCTTGTAGATAAAGTGGAGCTGACATGTGACGTTGGAGACAGTGTTGTTGGGGCCCCTCCTCCGCCTCTGCATGACCCCTCACTGCCCGGAGTCCCCCCTGAAGGCCCCCCAAGCAGCAACAGTGAGGCCATGGTGGACATGCTCCCAGCTGGGTACGGCGCACTGTCACTCACCATGGGATTGCCTCTACACATCTATACATGGGCCTGGAAATTAGGGCTGGGCGATATGGCTTAAAATCATATCACAATCCAAGTGCTTCATATCGGTTGATATCAATAATTATTGTTTTTTTTTAAAAATACATTTGTTGTGTCGGCGAACACACGTTAGCAGCCCTTGTTTACAGTCACGGGGGAATGAGAACTCCCCCGTATGTTCAAAAGCACTGTTTCCCCCATTGATAGTCCTGGTTTAGCTCCTGTTTTGGCTTGTATTGAGTGTCTTGTGTCCCTGGGACGGCTCCGTGCGGCTATCAGAGAGCAGCCGGTGCTTCCCGAGGATAAAGTTCATCTCCTGCTTTTGCCGCAAGCATCAAGTCTCTCTACCCACTGCCTCTACCACGCCGCACATTCTATTCCTCGCACGGACGTGCATAACTATTGACACGGCATTGAAACATGATCTATAGATCCATGGACGCTACTCCATGGACCACGGTTGCAAGTGGGAAAAGCATGTACAATAGGTTGATTATTGACTGAAAAACGATATCTATTAATTATCATGAGGTTCTGAATTCAGTATCAAGTGTGAAATGGAACTTCCCAGTTTATGCAACAGTTGTTTTTTTTCATATTTCACATTTCTGGGGTTACCAAACAAAAAAATGTTTTATTCTTTGTTGTTCTCCCTGTGCTTTGCAGCTGGGAGCAGAGAGTCCTACCACATGGCAGAGTCTATTATGTGGACCACAACACAAAGACGACCACCTGGGAAAGACCTCTGCCCCTTGGGTATGTGTCAGCTACATTAGTTATTGGTCATTTAAAGATTACGTATTAAATCAGATTCCTTTTATTGCCATGTGAGTAACAGGATGTCACAAACTAGGAAATTGCTTTGTCTCTCGGTGCAAACAAGTTAAAGCAATAAACACAAGAAGGAATGCATAAATAAAAATCTACAGACATTTCTTCAGTTGACTACAGTAATTTATGTAATTTAAATAGAAGTAAAAGTCCATCCATACATTTTTTTCCGCTTCATCTGTTCCCGGGTCGCGGGGGCAACAGTCTAAGCAGAGACTTCCCTATCCACACACCCCAAGGCGTCCCAGACCAGCTGAGAGACATAGTCCCTCCAGCGGGTCCTGGGTCTTCCCCAGGGTCTCCTCCCAGGAAGCATCCAGTACAGATGTCCGAGCCACCTCAACTGGTTCTTCTCGACGTGGAGAAGCAGCGGCTCTACTCCAAGCTCCTTCTGTGTGACTGAGCTCCTCACTCTATCTCTTAGGGAGCACCCAGCCACTAAGAGATAGAGCGGAGGAAGCTCATCCACGATCTCGTTCTTTCGGTCATCACCCAAAGCTCATGACCATAGGTGAGGGAGGGAACGAAGATTGACCGGTAAATCGAGAGCTTTGCCTTTTGGCTCAGCTCCTTCTTTACCACAACGGTTTGATTCAGCGACCGCATCACGCTGCACCGATCCGCCTGTCAATCTCACGCTCCATCCTTCCCTCACTCGTGAACGAGACCCCGAGATACTTGAACTCCTCCTCTTGAGGAAGGACCTCTCCACCCACCTGGAGAGGGCAGGGTACCTTTTTCCGGTCGAGCGACCTGGCAACGGATGAAGCAGAAGAAAATGGAATGGAATGGAAAAAGTTTGGCAAAGTTTGCGTCATATTCCCATATGCGGACTTCCGCGGTCAATAGCTCACAAAAGCTGCTTTGTTAAACAAAAGTAATTGTCCTAAAATGAATCACCTTTTCATTGATTTTTCAAATCCAATGCGCTGTTTTAATGCAGCAAGATCCATTGAATCCAAAGCGCTGCAAGCACCGAGAAAAGCGCTTAGGGTGCGTCAATAAATGTCAAACGAACAATGGCTTTTACGTGATGTTTTACTGAGGGATGCGCATGTACGATGGACAATTATGAGGACCAGTAATTGAGGTGATCCAACCGGAAGAACAGAACCCTCTAGTATACCTTTAAGAAGAACCCAAATTACATTGCACTAAAAGCGCTTCAAGTTTACAGATTATATCTGAAAACTGTTTAGAAAAAGCACTTTTGGCGGATTGTATTTTGTGGCCAAAACCTTGATCATTTGTTTTTCCCCAGCTGGGAGAAGCGAGTGGACCAAAGAGGCCGCTTCTATTACGTAGACCACAACACGCGGACCACGACATGGCAGAGGCCCACAGCTGAGTCTGTGAGAAGCTACCAGCAGTGGCAGAGTCAGCGCAGCCAGCTCCAGGGCGCTATGCACCACTTCAGCCAACGCTTTCTATATCAGGTATTATCTAACCTATATTATATTCTATACCTTAGGCCAGTGTTTTTCAACCTTTTTTGAGCCAAGGCACACTTTTTTCACTGAAAAAATCTTGCGGCACACCTCCAGGAGAAAATGTAAAAATGTATACAGTACTAATGTAAAAAAATATATACTGTACATACTCTGTGTGATATATAAAGTATATCTTATCTTATAATGTATACAGTATACTCTGTAGCCTATATTCACAATATACAGTTATTCTCATCAAAATGCTTAAGTCCAGGCCTTGAAATTAAGCTTTATTTAATATTTCTCAATACAATTAACAAGAGTTTGGGAATAAAGTGGCACTAACTGTGTGGAAAAAAACTAAGAAAATCCACTCTCTGCCCAAATAGTCAAATAATAACTCACACAAAGAACATGCATTGTTAGTGCATGGGAAACATTTTGGTATCCGAGCTTTAAAGTTTTGGATGAGGGACACGGGAGGTCCTGAACGCGAGTCCATGGTTCTGTCCGGTCCGCATGTCTGTGGTTCTGTCCACTCGACTACGGTCTGCGCTCGGTACCCAGTTCAGAAGTGCGTTCGCGAGAGCTGTTGTACAAAAATCGTACATTTCATAGTTAAACCACTACAACGCGGCCACAGCTGCCCCGGGGCAGAGCGGAGGATGTTAATCCTGTTCAGAAACGGCATAATTCATTTTCAAAAACGTCTCTATCACTTTTACTTCTCACTCGCCACAAAGCTCTTGTCTCGCTCCCTCCCACATTTGTTGGTCGCATCCAATTTTACCTTTCTCGCCACAATGCTGACCTGTTACAGCCAGTGGTCGCATCCAATTTTTCAGTTTCAAAGTACTTAGCTATCTGCTGCCATCTACTGATTTGAAAAAGTATTACATGGTTACTCACAGTTCAAAACAAGTCACCGCTCGTCAACAGCGAATGCAGCTATTTTTAGACAAAGTAGACGAATTTCTCACGGCACACCAGACAATATCATACGGCACACTAGTGTGCCGCGGCACAGTGGTTGAAAAACACTGCCTTAGGCAGAATCTGACTGCTAACCCAGTCCCTGTCATATCGGTTTATGTCACGTCAGTATCGAACCTGCCACCTACTCATTTGCCCCATCGTATATAGGCTACTCACTCATTTTCATCAGTGTCCAAGACTAAACAACATGTGTTAAATGATTTAGTTTCACTACATGAAGCAAAAGTGAAAAGATTCAATGTTGCATTGAAAATTAAATTAAATCTGATGTTTTCTGGGCCGGTTGTGTAGTGTAGTCTTATACATGAACTTGTGTTCATTGCTGCACTCTGCGGTGTCTTGACAAGATTGCAATGTTGAGGCCAGGTGACACATTTCTGCTGCATATGACCACTGAAGAGGTTATGAGGCCACAGGGGTCTGACACGATCTAATCTAATTCTAGTTTTAACTTGTGATGTAAATGTATCCAAAGTTCACAGTACGATCTCCAAATTGATCTTACGGTACAGTATTTATTTATTGCAATATTTAGAGAGTATTGGATAACTGAATATTGTGTGGTTTGAGAATGCAACCATTTGACTAAAATGTCAAAAGATTGCATTTGCAAAGGTTACAAAGGTTGTTTGCGCTACCTCCCGTCAGCTTATGACTTTGTTTGAGCCCAAGTGCTTTCTGGCTGTTCACAATGTTATGCCTATAGTCTAGCTGGTGCAACTTTGCCTTATGCTAGCGTTCATTAGCACATATGATCAGCAACTGCAATATTATATTGTTAGATATAGATATAAGATTAGAGGGAGGAATTGACACACCCCCGGCCGTTGTCAATGTTGGTTTGTGTATTTTTGTGCTGCAAATGTATATCACTTGTGTGTCTATCTCCTCACCTCTCTGGGTTTTTTCTAACTGATCTTGGGGCTGAGTGTGGAATCTTCATGCTCATACCACAGGTCGATTTCCACATTTGTTTCACCATGTGAGGACTGTGAGCAGGTTCAAGGCTCTTCTTGTGGTCAAAGAAACCCTTCTTGGTCTTTTATGCTGTCCTTCAGCTGGGGGACAACCTCTACATTGTACTGTACCGGTTGTTAAGCTATGTTTCTATGTGCACAAATGAGGAGCGGCGTTAGTATCGCGATGTTTGGGTGTTCATGTTGATGCTCACACAAGACTGTATTCACTTGTCTGCTATCGCAATTGAGTAAACATCGTTTCCATAAACCTGTGTGTTTATTGAGCTAACATTGGTAGCAGAGGATGGCTGCTGGTGGTGACTACAAGATCCCGCCACCATTTGACGAGAAAACGTCATATGAAATTTGGAAGAATGAGATTGAAATCTGGAGGTTGGTCACAGATTTGGACCAGAAGAAACAAGCGCTAGCCGTTACCTTGTCGCTAGCGGGGCGCGCGAGGGAAAGTGCGCTGGAAATTCCCGCCGGTGATTTGAATGCTGACACTGGTATGGCCGCACTTTTGGCAAAATTGGACTCTGTGTTTCTTAAAGAAGAAAAAGATCGCCAGTATGAGGCATACAGAGTTTGATTGTGTAACTAGACACAGTGGCATGTCTATGGTGGACTATATAGTGGAGTTTGAGCGCTGTTACAACAGACTGCGTAAATTTAAAATGGAGCTCCCAGATGCTGTGCTAGCCTTTAAGTTGCTAGATATGGCCGGTCTCAACATAAAAGACAAACAGTTAGCACTTACAGCCTGCCCCACCGTCACATTTGTTGATATAAAATCTGCATTGAAAAGAATTTTTGGAGACGTCACATCACCACGAGAGGGCAGCAGTGAGCCGCAAACGGCTGACAGCGAGCGCGCCTATTACACACTATACACTGGGAAGAGAGACGGTAGACGGTAAATCAAACTATCAACAAAGTCAAGCGGTGGCGCAAGGAACAAACCCACTCGATAAACTTGGCAGAAGAACAAAATGTGCTGTTAGTCAGAGCACATTTCACTGGGCAAGAAACTGTCCAAACAAAAAGGAACATGTGAAGACAATAAAAGATAAAGGACACAAAAGTGAATATGAGAAGTGCAATATCACTTTGTTTTTGAATGAGACTCTTTCAGACACAGATATCTTCATGGTGGAGGCTTTAGGGTCAGCAGTGATTGAAACAGCTTGTACAAGAACAGTGTGTGGTGAGAAATGGCTTGAAGATTATACAAGAGGACTACCACAATGTGAGTTACAAAAAATAGTCTGAGAAACAAGTACAAGACCATTTAGATTTGGCGATAGCAAAGTGGTTCATTCTACAAGAAAAGTTACACTACCATGCAAAATAGAAACAGTTGTTCCTGCAAACATTCCCATGCTATTGAGCAAGGCATCACTAAAAAGGGCCAGTGCAATATTAGGCATTGCATGTGACAAAGCCACCATGTTTAAACAGTCAGTTAAACTTGAGCTGACATCTTCTGGATATTATTGTGTGAACTTGAGAGATAAGAGTAAAGAGGAAACTCAAAATGAAGAAGAGGTACTCATTGTTAAAGAGGACATGAGCACAAAAGAAAAGGAAAAAATCCTTTTGAAACTACACAGGCAGTTTGGACACACCTGAGCTGAAAGGTTGCAGAAGCTTCTCACCTGCGCAGCCACTCAGGACAAAGAAAGTATAGATATTCTCAAGAGAATTGTCCAAAATTGTGAAACCTGTACAAGGTACTGCAAGTCAAAAAACAAGCCAATATTTGGTTTGCCAATGGCCACAACTTATAATGAAACTGTGGCTGTGGATTTACATGAGCTTGACCACAAAGTGTGGTATTTACATGTCATAGACCACTTCACCCGCTTCAGTGCTGGGAGTATTGTCACAACAAAGAACCCCAAAGAGATAGTTAAGCAGTTCATTCACTGTTGGATCAGTGTTCATAGTCCTCCAAGCCGGCTATTTAGTGACAATGGAGGTGAATTCAATAACGAGATTGTCAAGGACATGGCTGAAAAATTCAACATTGAGATAAAAACCACTGCAGCTTATAGCCCATGGAGCAACGGGCTTTTGGAAAGGCATAACCAAACGCTCACTGAAATGCTTCTGAACGTTAAAAAAGACAATAATTGTGACATACAGCGTTAGACTGGGCACTCATGGCCAAGAACTCCATGCACAATGTACATGGGTATAGCCCCTATCAACTGGTGTTTGGACAAAATCCAAACCTTCCCTCGGTGCGCACTGACAAACCCCCAGCCTTTGAAACAAGCATAACACCTGGATAGCTCAACACATGACAACACTACATGCAATGAGAAAGGCGTTTACAGAGGCAGAATGCTCTGAGAGACTCAGAAGAGCCCTTCGGAAGCAACTACAACCAGTTGATGACAAGTATGTCACAGGAGACAAAGTCTACTATAAAAGGATTGATTTCAATGAGTGGAAAGGTCCAGGGGTAGTACTAGGTCAAGATGGGGCTGTTGTATTTGTGAGACATGGGGGCTCCTATGTCAGGGTGCATCAATCTAGACTTAGAAAGGTGACTGAGACACAAACTAAAATGGCTGATACAGAACCTAAAATGACAACACTCGAGACACCGACAGCACCACCAGCAGCAAATCTTTATGATGCAGAAAGTGACTATGAGGACACAACACAAGCAGACATTGGCCCATCTAATGTTGAGATTAATGAACTATCTGGTGCAACGGGCAGTGATGAGCAGTCACAAGCCAGCTCCTCCTGTGAAAACATAAAGCTGAAAATTGGCCAAGAGGTTAAATACATTGACAATGAAAGTGGTCAAAGTTGTACTGGAAAAGTCCTTGGCCGAGCAGGAAAGGCAACTGGAAAACACAAATATTGGTATAATCTGCAGTTCAGTCAGCCTGAGAACAGAGCTGGTACATCACAGTCAGTAAATCTTGGTATAATGAACAATGTTCAAGTGATTTCGTCATAGGTTAGTGTACCGACAAAAATTGTGACAATGCATTTATTGTACAGGACGATGTCTTCATGGCAGCCAAACAT